AGCAGGAACCTTGCTGAATCGTCATGAACTCATGATCTCTGCAGCAGTTTCTCTCCAGGAACTGTAGTCAATTGTATGCTGCTGAAAAACATCTCTCATGCAAGTTGTGAGATAGATGATATGAGAGAGAGAGAGAGAGAGAGAGAGAGAGGTGCAAAGGGACAGAGGCAAGGACCGGACAGCCAAGGAACTCACCTTGGCAGTCACACTTCTTGGCACAGTTGCACAAAAGATCCTAACAGGAAGCACATGATTCTTCCTCAGGAGAAAAAAAAAAGGAAACAGATACAATCGCTCATCTCCCTTAAGGGGACTTCCAGCCTCTCAGAATGGAGGAGTAGTTTATTCCTCTTTGCTGGCTTCAATGAATCTGCCCCTCTTGGGTTTTAGTTTCTCTTTTTAAACAGTTGGCGCCTTAGTAGTTCTGCCAGTATCAGGGATGTCTCTGACAGCAAACTGAGCAATATTAAGTTGCGCAGCCAGGAAGAGGTGATGTGGAAGTCAGAAATGCATGCCTCCAACTCAGGGTTAGTTTTCATCTACCATGCTCTCATTAATGCCAGAGATGTATGTTGAATTGCTAGGGTGAGATATTGCCAGGGTAAGAGGTACCATTGGCAGTTGGTGCAATTGCTTTCCTGTGCCAGCTTATCAGTGAAGGCAGAGCAAAACACAACTTGCAGCCCGCATGATTTCCATTAGCTAATGTGCCCTGCCCATTCCTAATAGGAGTCTTTGTTAGAGGGCTGTTGCTTGACATCAGCCTGCTGCAGCACTAAATCAGGCTCTGTTGAAGCCTGTCATGACATGTTACAGGGGCCATCTCTCTTGTTTGGTAAGAAAAGAGAGTCTAAGAGGCAAGGGAAACAGAAACAATTTAAAAGTAAGGAACTCTCTGTGCAGGCAAAATTGCAAGGACCTACTTGTGCAAAAAGCCAGTCCAGGGCTGGGTGAAGTAGGTGTTGTATCTTGACGTGCACCTACCATTTTGAAAGTCAGGCCTACTGAGGCCCATAAAAATATGGCCTTTGCATTTTTGACATGCTGTGCAACGTGGGTTAAAGGGATGAGAGTTGGATCATAAGTATCTTGAAGACAGCAAGATCTTGGATGATCTTGGAACCTACAATTCATTTTTTTATTCTCAAGGTGGCCTTATCCAGGCTGGTCGAGTTGGGTGGAGTGGCTGTTCAAGAGAAGCTTTGCTGTAATTTTCTGAATATCTCTCTTACCTGGACTCCAGTTTCATGGGCTACTCCTCTAGTACTTCCTATTGACATTTTATTTATTGCCACTTAGATGAGGGAATTTAAGTTGCTTCTGAGAAATGCTCCTCACTTGAATAGGTTTTTTATATTTGATTTAATAAAAGAGAGGCAGTCTGTCTGCTGATATATCAGTCTGTCTCGCACAGTGAGGAGCGCTGACTTCTGCTCTGGTGGTAACGCGCACTGATTGATGCCGGTGGCATCTGGTGCCCGCAGGCCTCCCTCGGTTAGGGCTGAGCAGCTGATCCGATAAACAAATCTGCACCCAATTCGAGTTTCCTGAATGGAAAAACACAGCTCCTTTGTAATGCATTGTAGTCTCATCCGATCTCTGAACAGCTCTGTGTCTCTCTTTCAGTAGAGAGCTATTCCTCTCATGCAGAGCTGCTTATCTAACACTGCTCAGCCTGGACTATGTCATTGCCTAAACTGCAAGAGGGACTGTCCCTGACGAGGAGGGTAGCCCTTCCAGAGCCTGCTTCTGCCCTCCCAGCCACCTTACTTGCGTCCCCAAACCAGGGCAGGTGTGATGCTGCTCGTGGTGCTCCCAGCCCAGCACGGTGCCATCAGTCTCTTCTCCCCCAGCCAGTCCATGACGTGGGTCCTTGTGCTTGCCCACATCAGGACAGCTCTTGTGGCTGGCAGAGTCTTACTGCAGCCCAGTGTGGAAAGCAGGTGGATGCCAGTCTGACTCTCCCTGTGTATTTTATATGTATTTTATACGGGTCTCCCACTTCCACAGAGTGCGAAGGAGTTCCAGGTAGCAGGTGGCATGTACCCAAGGCAAAGGCTGTGCTTGTGTTTTGAGCATCTCTGTCACCTTCATATTGCACACTGGGATGTGGAGATTTAGACAAAATGAGCAGCCTGCAAGATGCAAACAAGTGACAAAAATAATTTCTCTGGATCCGTTTTCACTCTCCCAAACAAGTATATCCACCTACTGCATGCACAGAGAGAGGGGAAGGGAGACCATTCCCTGTCTTTCCTAAAACCTCCGCTGCTCCAGATCTCAAAAGGTTCAAAGTTCTACATTTTTCTGGCCTGCTTCTATGGCATGGACGAGAACAGCTCCCTCTTCTCAAATAATGCCCTAAACTGCCCTCACTGTAGCTCCTTTCCCACAATACTTCCACCAGTTTTCAGAACGAAGGCACCTATTGCGTTAGTTGTTCTTGCTTTGCAGCGGGGTGGCAGCTCTGTCGCAGCGGGGACGGAGCGCAGGGGCACCCGCGCTCGGCCATGGCGGCGCAATTCCCCACTAATGCAATAACTGGGAGCAGATGGAGGCTGCAGGCACGAGCCTCCCGTGTGCAAGCACTGTGCCCGGTACTAGTGGATCAGCTCAGATGAGTCTTATCTGCAGATTAAATGATTCAGTGGTCCTTACCTAATAAGTGAGGAATTTGTGCCTGGACCCTGGCACTGAATCAAGATTTATGGTAGG